TTGTTCTTCATGCAGTTGAAGGGTTTCAATGCATGTCGAAAATTCAGCTTTGTCTTTAAATGATTGCGGATTTCATTCTTGCCTGCAGAAATTGACGCGCTTCGTCAGCGTCATAGCGTTTTCCCACCATGTCGCGGCTGTGAGCAGTCAAATTAGGGACCAGTATTTATGAAGATGTTCAGTTTCTGTCTACCTTTGGATTAACTCTGTTCAAATGCCATTATCCCTCTCACACAAGTTCAAAGTTTCAAATCAAAGAAATGCTCAACCTTGAACTCAGAAATGGATTTGCTGCACCCTCTCGTGGTCAGCACTTGTGCTGTAAGGTTGTTTCAGCAATTTTTGTAGACCAATAGCTCGATCTTCATTTTTGATTGGATGTGTTCCAGATGTATGGTGCTCTTGTTAATCGACCTTACCTTACTGTTAATGAAGATTTCCGGCTGTACCTGTGATTTGCCTCATTTGTCAGTTTCTTCGGTTTTAGTCGCGTATGTACAAATGAGGTGCTTTCTACGATTCTCCTACTCTGCGATGAATTGATTAACTGCGTAAGACGAGGTTATCTCTCTTGCTCTTGCTACACCCTCTCCTAATCGCTAAAGACTTTTTTGTAGTCGAGTCTCACCCATCTTCATAAAATCATTTACGGATTTCTCTTCGGGAACTTCTGAAGATTTCGGTTCAGCTGTATGTCAGAGTTCGCTTACTTTGACATTTTTTACAAATGAATCTCTCAGAAAGTTTAAGCCCATTCTTTTCTTCTACTTCGTTTTTCCCTCTCTAAAGGCAGTAGCTCGTCAGTCATTCTTACATCTTTTCAGTTAGATCGCCTTGGCACTCATTTTTTAAGACCTTACCTTAGACGTTACTCTGTGCCTCACAGTTTTTGTTCACAATTTCACCCTTTGGTCACTGTGTTAGTTGGCCGGTTTTAAAGCTGCTTCCCTTGTCTCTCCAGAACCCCGCTTCCACCTAGTTGTGATTACTTTAGATCTCCAGTAACGGTTGAATTGGCATAACAAACGTGTGTTTTTATTGCATATGTGCGTTTGGCTGGGTTGATAAGAGCACAGTGAATTTATTTCATTTCTTTCATAGTCTGTGAAAGTGAATCAGAACAAAGCTTGCCAAAGTTTTCAGCGGAATCTTCTTGTAGTTTAAGCTTAGTACACTGACTACATAAAACTGGTACCACGCGCTAAGTCGTGTTTATTTAATTTCTACGAAACATAAATAACTTTTTCAACCAGATGATCGACCAGTACCGACGTTTCCTCTCGTATTTTACCGGTTTTCTGCAAAGAGGTGAGTGAACGTATCGTTGTTTGAAACGGCTCGCACGTTTCGACCGAGAAAGCGACACTTCGCTCGTGATGCTGGTTAAATAGTTTACTGACTACAGGGGCGATAATGCTCATCTAGTTTGAACATAAAGTTTCCCATCCTCTGTCACGCTTGAGGTTGCCGTGCGACTGAAAGATTAAGGCATACTATCTTTGACGTACCTGCTCAATCAGTATTTTTTGGAGATGCTGTGCACTCTGACTATCGGGAGGAGAGAC